TTGAGAAGAAGACTGTCAGTGTTTTTTTTTCCAGAAGACATTCACGTTGTTGATTTACTTCCTCTTACTACCCGTTGCATCACCAAATTGCTGTGAAGCTTCATCTGGCAAACAGTTCGTCTTTAGTTCTCCTGATGAACTTGAAAATTCATTTATTCATCAATGACAGCAATGCGTCCAGGTCCTGAGGTAGAACCACGATGCTTCCTCTAACAATGCTTCACACCACAGCTTTAACCAACTCATCCAATCTTGTTACAGTGACTGGATTGTTGGATGGGTACAAGGATGTGCAGAGGGCGGGGCCAACACGGTGGTGGCCTTCGTCATCCACCTGTAGGTCGTATCCACAGCACACCCTACCCACAGGTTGAAGATTTATTTTTGCTTTTCAGTTAACAAAACCTGTGCAATAATTCTCCGAAACGAACACTTCGTCGTTGGTGTACCAACTAATGGCATCGCTGTATAAGTGTGGAGATAGGGACAGTAGTCTGTTGAGTCGTCAACAGAGAACCATTCCAAATGTTGCTGAGTTCATAGGCAGTTATAAAAGGCAGTTCGATGAAAAGTAACACCAGAGTGTGATTATTTTGTTGGGCCGTCTGCATCAACTGAAGATGTGAGCATGGGTGTGTATGCTGAGAACACATTTGATACATTTGTCTATTCATGAGAGTGACAGAGGAGCTGAGGAATGTCTCGGGCAAATAGGGTCATTAGGGCCCCCCTATAAATATATTTGACACTGCTTATTTTTTTCGCGAGGCTCATATTGCTGTGAAATGCTTCAGTTAGTGCGTGTAATATTGTGCTTGAGTTGTTGTCGGTTTCCTTATTCAACATTGGCTGGCAATTTGACTTTTCCCAGTCCAAAAAGTCACAGCATTCCATTTTGTCAGTGAAATGTAGATATAAGTGATAAACCCATCCCGCCCCTATTCCTGGAGGTTTCTCGAACGAGTCAAAACAAAGCTTGCCACAATTAATTCTGTTTGGGTTGCAACAGAGACCATCTGTCAACGTTTTTTCTTTATAGAGGTTACGGAATTTTCCATTAATTCTTACCCCAGATGCAAGCACAATCGTTTTCTCCCAAGATGATTCCATCTCATACTTTGTCCCTTGCCACGCTCCTATTGTGAGCTAGAAAATTGGTGTGAAGACTCGCAGTGTTGTATGTCCTTTAGCTGTCATGGCGTGTGTGCGCGCAGGTGAATGTGATCATGAGCTACCAAAACCCCCTCAAAAAGATTGATAGAGCAAAGAAGGCACACAATTAAATTTGTGCCGAAGATGTTTGCATAGTCAGACTTCCTGCAGCGCCATGAAGAGGCCAATTTATATCACTCAGAGTATGGCGGCCTCACTTGACTGACTGACAGATCACAGTGATAAGCCTTGATCAGGATATTGCTGCAACGGATATTGCTGCTATTGTTGCTGTCCGCTTCCATGCAGTGAAGGAAAAGTGTTTGTTTGGTTTATATGCTTTTTGTTCGATGTGAGAACAAACAATCATAAGTGTATCTAACCCGGGTCAAGGACGACGCCTCGAACTGATGTCCAAAAACGTTTTATTCGTGGAACACCATGAAAACTAAGACATTTGAACATCAACAATCAATAATCTGTTTGACAAGACATTAAATAAATAAGCAGAAATAATATACCGTGTGCACGATATTAAACCGAAAGTAGATCATCTAAAATAAAGTCGACCAGACGGTATCGTTTCGTCTCTCTCTCGCAATCTCTCTTTCTCGATCTCTCTCCCTAATTCCCTCGCTATCCGCCACACGTGACCCTGAACCGGAAATGATCGTCGAGAAAACATTCCAAATAACATCTTGAAAAGATGTAAAGAAAACCATAAATATGAAGGTTCACATGGAAACAAACACACTTTCACAAACAACAACCTTAAATAAATTATATTTTAGTTGTCATGGCAACCAACCAACTCAATACTGGCACCAACTACAATAAGTGATCCGTTAAAATAGAAATACTACAATACCCCCAACATATTCATATTGTCTTCATTTGTGAGAATCACTCTGTCACTCTCACTCTCATTCAGAGAGAGCGAGAGAAAGAGAGAGAGAGAGAATTGAATCTGACTTAATGTGGAATACCGGTCTGGAACATGAATCCATCAACATTGCAGTGGTACCATCCATCCACACACACATATGGCTACATAAACAAGACGGGGCTCAACACATCCTGCGCACTGGCTAACGTCAGCACACCAACGTCAAACATTGCCCAGTGCTAGGCAACAATGCCATCCCAGATGGCAGGCTCTGATGTTTAGTTTGCTCTAATCTAATGCACTTAAGTCCCATTTCCTACCCATGCCGCCGAGATGACACAACAGGGAATATAAAGTCTGGTCGACAAGTATTTGGGCAATGTCGGTTTGGAATTAATGAGATTGTGATGGCAAAGAAGGGCTGGACTTCACTGAGGTCAGTGGCCTGATCTCAACTCAACAGAGCACACAGTACATTTCACGCAACAGAGAAGAAAAGTGACATTCGTGAACAAGCAGCAACAGAAGATGCAGTGAAGGTCTTGCATAGCATTGAGGTACAATGATATGATTACCATGAATGAAGGCGATGGTTCCTTTTTTTTTTTTAACATTTCACAGCACCACATCTTTGAACTGAATGGAAGGAATTCTGTGACTCTGTGGTTTTGATTTAATTTAGAGGGATAACGGAGAAAAATTTACGAGTAAAAATAGTCCCCATTAAACACATTCTCTTTTGCACTGAAATGTTGGTACATTGCACACATGTGCAATCACGTGTACAACATACGTTCACATTTGTACATATTTTTCGAGGGTTGGGTGTGTCAGTGTAAATAAGTACAGAGCAAAACTATATTACCTGTTTAGAAATTTTTACCGGTTCTGCAATAAGCATAGTCAGTGAAGTGCAAAAATATAGTGTTAAGCGGCTATTTGTGATGGGCCGGTTCTGGACCCTGGGCCTGAATTTGACACGTGCCCTAGCATTTATGACATTGATGAAAGAAAAAAAAAACAACTTTACATTACCACACAAAAACACCTTCATAGAGCAAATATACAGTCGCTCGGTGTCTGTAAAATTAATTGTAAAATGTGTTGAAATGACTCCATCTTATTTTGTCAAGAGGTTGGCACGAAATAAAATCACCTGGATCCAGACAGATTTTTAAGTGGACTATAAATGTACATATAAATGCATCTGGATTGAGATGATTTTGTTATGCGCAACCACATGATGAAATAAAATGGGAGTAAACTCAACCCAAACATTTTTTTCAGTTCAAGATGTTGATGATCAGTCAGGTTGAAGTCCTCCTTTCCGAACACACACGTATTAGGGAGCTGCTTGGCTGTTTGTTTTTTATCAGTGAACTGGACCATCTATGGCAGCAGACTGGAGGGGCTTTAGGCTCGATCCCGGCAGGCTTAGCCACACAGGCCCAGCTGCTGCCACGAGCGTGGATGGGCACGGGATAAACTGCTCACTCTTCAGCATGGTTGTGATTCGAACACACTAACATGCAAGCATCTACCACACTTTGCTGTACAAATAATGCTAAAGTTGTATATCCAATCCTGATGGAAATAATCTTGTTTCAAAATCATCTGTTGATCTCAAACCCAAATGTTTGCAGTAAGTAAAAATAAAGGAACGGGCCACATCGGTGCTATACTTTTGGGGGGGATGTGTGGAAGCAAAGTAGCATGTGCACTGCACTTCATGTTCTAATCTCTCCTTTTTGTGTGCTCAGCTGGAACAGCCAAGCGTCAACAAGTATTGCAGAAGTGGCCCCGGGCTTGAGAAAAGGGCCAGAATGTCATGCAGCGTTATTGACTGATCCAATGAAGACTAAATGTTAATGTTTGTCTCTGCATTTCTGAGAAAAGTCACATCACGATCTCGTTACTTTGTTTGACAAGGTCCGACCGCTCTCTGCACCATCAATCCATCTTTTTTTTTTTATTTCAGCAATCTCTCCCGATGTGTATTGTACTGTTCCAGAAAGTTATGTAACATCAGCATCTGTGTCATTGGGGACCTCATTTTAGCCATCAGTTTCTTGTGCTGAGCCTGCCTCCGTCCCAATCCAACACGCACCAGCAGACTGCGAGGTGTGACACAACACGACCTACTAAAATGTATCGACTCCATTCGAACGTGCGATGTTTACGTGGCTCCAAGCGCTTGTGCGCCAATATACATGTGGCCCGGGCATCGGCATCGACCCCCCTGAGTCAGCTGGCACCTCGCAAATTTAAGTTACATAACATGTCATGAGTGTGTGGCTTCAAAACAAGTCTTGTCACTTGATGTTATGTGATCAGTGTTGACTGCAAACCAGAAAAAAAAAGGACTACAACTCTGGGATTTAGTTTAGCCGCAGACCGACAAACAGCGCGCAATTCCTCACTGACCTGATTCTTCTTATCTCGTCACGATAAGGTGGAAGGATTATCGTGATACCTCACCGCATGATATGAGCAAAAATAAAAACTGCATGTGATACAGCTACATAGACCATATCAGCTATTAGAAGTGATAGCTTAGCACAGTGGTTCTCACAATTTTTCACCGGCTTAAAAAAAAAGTAGTTTACTCACTAAGTGCCACCTTCATAACAACCATTAGAATATACACATGATTTTTTTTTTTGTGCAAAGGTGACAGCTGTAATATCACAATTCCCCACTCGATGGCATACATGTCTTAGTTGCACTTACACTGCCTTATATTACAGCATGAGTAGGCCAAATATTTTTTTCAGAGGATTCGGAACGATATGAAGGAGTTCGATTTGAGTGAGTTTATTTTTGTGGAGAAAAAAAAAGGTATAAAATGAGTTCTTGCACCTAATGTTGGTCTCCTGTTCAGCAGTTTTGTGCCGTCTTTGAATGGTAATTTTATTTTTTTTACAAAAAATAATAATTCAGTGTGATTTTTTTGTTGTTGTTGTTTGCTCAAAACCTTTTTTTGTTGGCTTAGGATAGTGGATCTTTAATACATGTACTGAAAAATGTACTAGCAAAAAGGAAACATTAAGAGCATACATTTTGCACATACTGTATTTTCCATATTTAAAAAAGCCTTTTTGTCATAGATCTGGTGAGGAAGTGCGTGGTACTTTGTGGTTCTGCCGTTGGTATTAAACTGGTAAAAATGAAAAGGATATCCTTAATTAGCAACTATTAATTGGAATTTTTAAAAAAGTATGCAAAGCAGTAGCGCCCCCTATGTATGAAGAATTAATAAACTCTCAATATGCATCTGTTCATTGTTAAGCAGAATTACCGCAGGCTTACATACTCAACTCAATGTACCAGAGTCTTGTTTTAGCGATTGCACTTCCGTGTATTTTGCTTTGAAAAGAAATTGTGAAAAGTTGTCAGTGAGTAGGTTCCATTCATTTTTCATTAAATTTAGAAAACTACCACAAAACATACCAATGCTTATGCGTTCATCCATGAACAAAATCCATGCTGTCCTATAGTGGCGTTTCTTTGTCATAGATATATTTAATACTATTTTGTGATTGAACTTAAAGTTCATAAATGGGTAAACATTTGTCATTAAAACTCTACAGACTTTATTTAAACATCTGAATCATCTTATATCAGCTAACAAACATCTGAAGACACACCGGCTAAAGATAATGCGCACATCATCTTAAGAGTGATGCCAGTTGACGCCAACCGCCTTTCCAGAGTGTCTGATCCGTGTGCGCTATATCCGGATCGCATTGCGGAGATATTGTATGACCATCTGTTTGATACCCGTACACTTAGTCATATTAAGGGCGATGTCCTATGTCTGCGTGTAGCGTATAATTTCATTGAGGTCATATCCCGTCACGGCAAAGGCGTAGCCATCTCCATCGCAGAACTTGGCGCCGCAGATTTGCGTGTCTGTCACACACTCATTGTGTAGATGGGCAACCTGAGAGGAGATGAAAGAAATGGATGCTTTAAAGAGAGAAAGTGCACTTCGACTACAAAATGAGCTGTGTGTTCCGTTTTTTTTTTTTTCTTTTTTTGGCAAGCTCTACCTCCACAGTGTTGCTTTCTGGGGTTACTGTCAGGTGCCACACCCTTACAAAAGAGTCTTCAGCAGCAGACAGGAGCTGTGGTGCACATTTCAAATCACACATGTCAACTTATAACATGCAAATATGCGCCACATTACTTAACTCACCAGCCCAGAAAAAGGAGCAATGTCCAGTGAGTAGATCCAGCGGGCGTGGGCGTTGACCTCCGCGTGCAGTATTCCCGTCACGGCCTCGTACAGACGGATCTGGCCTGTTCCGTAACCAGCCACCGCTGTACCTTTCCACAGCTTCACGGATGAGCAGCTCATACTGACAAGAAGATTGAGGATCATTGCAGTGAGGAAACAAAACGTCGCAATTACATTAGAGGAGTGAGTGATCAGGAAGAGGAGACGGAGGACAGAAACAGCTTAGGTAGTGACGCAAAACAATGAATTACGCCGGAGGATGAGGAGGATGTCGGAAAGGTATGGCGGTAATGATACGTGAAATGCACCATGCTGGTTGTTCCAAAAAAGCGATGCTTAATTGTTTGTAACTCTAGACCCAAGATTTCAACTGAAAGAAGGCTAATGGATTAAAGCGATAACACCTTCAATCACCGAGGGGAGTCCAGTGGCCTCGATTAAACTTCGGCGGATTTGCACAACATATTCAAAATGACTCCTCTGTATTTCACATGGCTCCAAAATGGAGGAACAACTTGTGACCAGTCGACGACAAGACAAGTACATTTCATTCTTACTCAAATCCACCAATCTTGTTGAGCAGCTGAAACTCTTCGCCGGACTTCCAAACACATAAGGTGCCGCTGTCATCGGCACTGACCAGGTCAGCGATGCAATCCTGAGGGAAGGCAGAGAGCCGCGGACATCATGTTCTTGACTGACTGATAAATATTGCTCATACAATGTAAACACTTAGAAGACATTCTTCATGATTATCCACATATTATATTATATTCTCTCTCTCTCTCTCTCTCTCTCTTTCTTGGCTAACAATGAAAGGATCACCACCTTCATGTTACAATGAAGCCCAATGAGCAAAATCATATTTAATAACAATACCTGGCTGCCTGAGCACTCTTGGGCCAAGTCGGTGATGGGCTCCTTGTGTTCCTCCAGTACTTCAGACAGGGTGATATTACTGCCTTTACTGGGAACATCAAATACGAGGATTCCACAAGAGGACAGTCCTGGAACGACAGGAAGAGACAAGAGACGAGTGAATTGTCGACAGTATTTGTCCTCAGGTGAGCCTGAGCCTATCCTGGTTGACTTTGAGGGAGAGGTGGCATACACACTGAACTGATTCCCAGCCAATCACAAGGCACAATTTTTTGGAATATGGGAAGCACCCAGAGTAGCGCTAGTCATCCTGTGCTGTGAATAAATTTCATCATGTATTTTAAAATATTATTGTTAGCTCAAAACAAGTGTGTTTCGCGCTGTCCGTACTTACCCACACATATGTAATTCTCCCACACTGCAGCAATCCCCCGAGCAAACACGGCCTGGGCTGGGGACGAATGACACATTCATGACACATGTGAGTGGCGAGGTAAGACTCTAATAAGTGAAATAGGTTTTTGCAGTGTTAATGTCACCTGTTGGTGTTTCAGGAGTATCCAGTGCGTGCCAATACACCATGATGGAGCCATCTGATTCATATATCTTGAAAGAAAAACACAAAAATAGAATTACAATTCGTGACAACGCTTTTATTCATATCCAGTTTAAAATATACCCCAATCAGGTGTTACCTGGATGCCTTTCTGTGAAGTCACTACCAGCAGATCGCGAGAGGGCAAAACACAAAATGCAGCCTATTGCAAGAAAACACAAATAAATGTTGTTTTATCTCTCTAAATGCTTAGCAGTCGCAACCCAAATATAATGGTCATTTTAAGAGAATCAAAGGGGGAAGTGTCGGGGAGTTTATTGGTCATTCCATGATGGTTGAAATCATATACTTTTTTACGTGTTTGTCTTGGAAAACGTCAAAGGAAATCATAACACAAATGGTCTGTTTTCTCAAATGGGGTCCTCCAATTCTGTCATGATCTCTATTGCCGGATAATGCCTGACCTGCATGATGAGCGATGGACTAGTTGCGACGTTGGGCTCCTTGGACTGCAGCTGACGGTGGGAGTAATTGAGGCCGTCCCACGACGCGCTGACCATGTTGACCACATTGGCGTGGACCACCGTGAAGTAGGTGAGGCGACGCGGGGCGATACGCAGCACGCACAGGTTGTTGTACAGCGCCGACGCGCTGTTCTTAATCTGGATGCTCTTCTCTTTGTGATACATCGAACGGCTTGATTCGGTGTCACTTACTGGTCTGAAAGTATGTCAAGCCTAGACGCGTTCCCTCTTCAAGCAGACTGGAACATTTCGGCAAAACGGCATTACGCTTAGCGTGGTACTTAGCATTAGCAGCTAGGCTAACCAGGGAGCTGCGAGCAAGCCACCTGCCACGAAGTAGTCAAATAATTCGAGTCAATAACAATGTCATTGTTGGATTGCAAAACGTTCATGCGATCACTCGCCAGTTATGCAACAATTATTGATCCCAGTCATGACTAATAGAGTTGACTTGATCTAAGCGCTTGTCCCGATAGGATTTCCTCGGCGTCTTGCGCAGCCATAGAGACGAAAATGTGACGTCAAAACCACGTGTTCAGTAGCTAGGCAACAGTTGTCGACGCCAAGAAGTCGAAAACGTTTAGATGAAGATAAAAACAGCAACCTCAAGACAAACTCGGGCCTTGTAGTTGAAGGTGTGTTTATTTTTTTATGTATTTTAAACAGGAAAACGGTGTAAATAATATAACAAACAGTCACACGGCAAAGATATGTTGTAAGTAGTCGGTTTCATCAACACGTCAAAAAAACGTTGACTGATCGCGATTCTAATCGCAACATTAATAACTGCTAGTTTATTTTTCCACACACAATTGTTGCGCGGATATAAAAATACTGTAAATTCTATTAGCAAATGAAAATAAAAGACAAATATTGTTTCGTTCACATAAAGAAATACTGTCCACGCATCATATAAATTAAATATTTATCTTCAAATCCGCAAATGACTCTTACTGGCTGCACACCAATCCGCTTGACTGAATCAACTTCACCGATAATGCAAAATGTATGTTTTACAAGATAGCGCATCATGATAAAAATGCAAAGGCTCGCATGTGTACTTTGTCTGTTAATGTAAGTGACATAGTGATTAACTGTCTCTGACTTCAAAGTAAACCCTCAAAATGCAAAGTTTACCGCCTGCTAAATTTTTGCACGACCCGTTGCAGTTTTAGAAAACGCCACAAGAGTGTGCCATCATGTGATTTATGACTTCCACAACCGGATGGAACACAGAGTATACTGTTCTGTATTTATAATTTAATTGAAAATATGGTTTTATCATAATTTACATCCAAAGTGGCACTGTGCAATACATGTGTATAAACAAATACGATATTTTGTGGGTTCCGGTTCTTGGTTTAAATTTTTTTTGGTGACAGATTTTACTGCATTGTGTTGAGTAGTTTTCTGATGTTTTGCGCCTTCTTATTTAGCTAAAATAAGGTAACCAAACACTACCGAGATGTCCCGCTCGACATCCAAGGCCCAAGCTGACAAGGGTAAGGCACCTGCTCGAGTGTCCCCACCGCCATCCCAAGAACCGGAAGAGGAAGACATTATCCCCGGCTGTCTGACTCAGAGCCAATGGATGGACATGTTGGTCCAAGAAGAGGCGGAGGATGTAGTAGGGGAAATAATGGCTGATCTGATGACCAATGTCATGGAAGGATGTTATAGTGTCCACATTGAAAGACAGGTAAAACATCAATTTATCCATCTTATGTAGTGTTTCTCCTTATTACTCCCTCAGCTCATTTTGGGCAAGAGGAAGGGCCCACACTGAACTGGTCAATAGACAGACAAGCATGCTCTTACATTCACACCTACACACAATTTAGAGTCTTCAATTAACCTCACACGGAATTTTGGGGAATGTGAGAGAATCAAAGATCAAACAAATGAATTAAATATTTTTTTCCCCAGCTATCATCTTTCACTGCATTCTGGGCCAAGGATTACTTCATACAGACTGTGGAGCAGAAACTCATGTGCCAAGATAGATGGGAAGATGCAATGGAACTGTCCGCAACAGAAGACTCAGAACCAATCCCAATCACTCCAGATGTCTGGGCAGAAGGATGTTTTCCTGTTATACATGGAGCACCCCCCTCTGAGCCTGCGTCACTTCAGGTACCTTTTAATTGTCTCTTGTAAAAGTCTCTACAGCGGAACCTTGTACGTCGTACACCCCAAAAGTTGTGCCATTTGGAGTTTAACCCCAAAACTTGGAACTCCACGTGTCAAAAGAAAAACATGCCATTTAAATCATAATGTGAGCCTTTTAAGCATTTAAATGACTTTAAATGGATATGCAGTGGTTTGACACAAGGTTTACACAAGCCTGTTCAAATTTTTGCGTCTGACAAAATTAGTCTGGTGAGCCTATTGTGCAGTTTCATGAGCGTAGAAAGAGAACGACCATTTCTTGTGGCAAAATTTGCCTTAATTTTATTTTTCGTATGTGTTTTCTTCATTGTTTAAGTTATCTTGTTGGGCGATGTCTGATTTTGCACATTCCCATTGATTCGTGCTTTCATTAAAACAATACTGTGAATCAGAAATTAGTCACTAGTATAAGTATCACCCAATATTTAAGTACCGGTAGTATTTTATTTTATTTTTTTCGCTGAAAACAAAATTTTATTGAAGTAATTATTTGGAGAACTACTTTTTACTTTTACTTGAGTCATATTATTCTAAAGCAACAGTACTCTTACTAGAGCACAATTTGTGGTGACTTGACCCACTTCTGTCATATTCTGTATTACTATACTTACTAACGCAACACTTAAATGTATTGATTCCATAAATGTGTCTTTGAAACCTCACAAGGGTAACAGTATTACATTTAAGTTAATGGTTTTATGATTATGATGACAGCCTGAGCATGGAGCAGTTTAATTCACTTCACATTATTTCTTACTTTAAAAAATAATTTCAAGTTATGAACAACTATCGTCAACGGATTGTGTCTGATTTGGACTCTAGATGTTCCTTCCTCTGTTATTAATTGTTTTTTTAGAATAAATGTCACAATTTATATTCTCAGATCACCCAGGAAGCAAATACTTGCGAGGACCTTGAACCAGCACATACTGAAGAAAATCAGCTAAATGTTCTCACACCACAAACCAGCATCTCCCCTGAGCAGTCTGAAGGAAAAATAAGTGCCAGCAGGGATGTCGGTGACAAGATTTGCCAAGGACCAAGTCCTTACCCCAAACAAAACATTTCCACCAAGAAAAAACAAAAAGCTTCTTTACTGCCAAAGCTTGAGCAAAGTACTGACTCACCACCCGTGCCATGTGCTGCAGAAAAACTGAAAACCAAGGGTGAAAATAAAGTCCCTTCGGGTTCTAAATATATACCCACATCATCACAACAACCGAAGTGGAATCAAATTATACCTAAGCTTGATCATTCTTCCTTGCCTCAACACTGGATCACTCCTCAATATGAGATTGACAAATGCACAAAATCTAGCATCAAAAAATCAAGTGGACAAGCCAAAATGTCGCCTGTGCCTAATAGTCAGCAGAGTGGTGTAATGGAAACGCCTTGGAATCCTGCCAACCAAGATCAGTCAGAGAGGTTGTCTCCCATTAAGGATGAGAGGATGATCGCACGAGCTTTGAGGATGGACACCATAGATTTGGCCAAAGGTGTTTCTGTCATGGGTGCCCCGAGAACACAGATGGTCCCACTCCCATTCAAATCACAAGCTCAGTGTCCCACGCTGAGGCCGATAAACAGTCAGTGTGTAAAATCATCTTTCCCCGTGGATCAGTTGACGACACAGCGTCCACCTCAGGTTACCCATTTGTTGCCGTCTGACAAATTTAACTTTTGATTGATTGATTTATGGCTCAAATTATGAATAAATTCACCTTCTTCATCTTTTTTTGGGGGGGGGGCGGTTAAATTCTCTCGGTTGAGTTTTTCAATCAAAGTCTTGATAAAACAAACAAAATAATAATAAATTACGTGTCATTTGGAAATCGATTTTTTTTTAATTAAAGTTCAGACACGGAAATAAAAATCTGAAATCCACTAGAGTGGAGATCCCTGGTTTAACTCCAGTAGTCCTTTTCAATGAAATTAATACACCATGTTTAATTGTTTTACTAATTAATACAATTAAACGTGGTGTATTAATATACCGCTACTATTAATTTGTCGAAGTACGTAGTCCGCTCTGCATGTATGACTCACTGACTTCATTCATATGTGTATGTTGGATAGAACGTTACGAATAAAAGTGTATAACTTAAATGTGTGCGTTACGAATAAAAGTGTAGAACTCAAATGTACGTGTATGTGTGTGCGTGTTTTATTGTACAGTACAGTACAGTATTGTTGAACATTATTTTGGTGTGACGCTTCAACCTAACTTGACAAGAACCAACCGGAAATTACTAGCACCGGACCAATTATCATTCACGTATACCAACTGAGGACCAATCGGATAATGTTTTGCCAGCAAGCAAGTTTCAATGACCCTTGCACACGTGGTATTACGTCGATGTGTCTGTCGCAGTGTCACGAAAACCAAACGAAATTTAAGATTTAACCTAATTTCTCGTGTGTATTAGACATGAAGAAGAAGCGGGTAAATCCGGAGTCAAACAAGGTAAGACCACATTTCATTTTACTGACCAAATGACTTCGACACACGGCAATTGCACTGTACTGTATTGAGCGGCTGCAAACATGCAGTCCTGCACACGTAAAGGAAAATAGTCACACGCCTTGGATTCTTTTTAAAGTTCACCTTATGTTGCTGTAGTATGTCTCATAAAGCAACATGCTGTTTTAGAAAAGCAGTAGACGTGTTTGTATTTTCAGTAATAAGTTACATACGAATATCATGTGGGCCTACATAATTGGCCCAAGTGCATATATATGTTTGAAGAGGGTTTGTGAAGCCCTTTTATTTTACAGCGATATGTTCTTTATGTCACTAGACGACTTCAACAAAATTGACCAATGATGTGGAGGACAAGGAGGAAAACGAGCCCCCCATTAAAGTGAAAAAGAGCAACTCTGAGGAAGTGGCATATCGCCCGGTGAAGTTGTCCAGAAGTGACCTTTACAGACCCCCAACAGTGGAGGAGCTCAACCAGCTGAAAGAGGCAGAGAGCTTATTTCACTGCAGCTTGCTCAAAATGCAGGTAAGACTTCAGACTCAACAATGTCAATGTGATGGGGAAAGACCAAACTTAAAATTATCTGTTCTATCACTGGTAACAGATGGAGGAGCTGCTGAAAGAAGTTACCCTCAGTGAACGCAGGAAACTGCAAATCGATGCTTTTATTGCAACGGTCACCAAACTCTTAAGGGCCGTACCAAGTTCACCTGAGGTGGAGGTGCGTCATACTTTTCCCAATGTGGTTCTGTGTGTAGGGTATAAGGGAATTTCAAAAGAACATGCAAGAACAGTTGAATCTAAACAGCTCATTGCCTGAAAGAGTTGAGCAATAATGTACAAGGTAGCTTGGGGCAGAGGGGGCTCGCTTCATACAACATTTTGATTTGACTTTTTTTGTAAATGAGGGGGCGGGTGATTTTTTTTTTCCCCCCATTTTTTTAATTGGTTCGGTTGGAGGGATTAGTAATGTAAACTCAACCTTCAAGTTTTTGTTCTTCAATGAACATAACTGAGACTGTAACTTGGTAATGTTCTACTTAGAATAGATCTGTTGAAATATGAAATGTATTTTTCAGGAATGTCTGCTTATGACAGAATAAGTTGTTTTTATATGCTTGAGGATGATACATTACCATTCATGTTTCCAAGTTTAAATATTTCCAAAATTACCAAATTTAACTTCCCATGGAAATTGACATGAGCATTTCCTCCACGCACCTTTGACTCCATATTCTTTTTTTTTTCTCTCTCCCCCAGATCAACGACCTGTCGTGGTTATCCAATGATGTAAAGGTTCCTATCCTCCTGTTACCCAAAACACAAAAGGGGAAGTTCCACATGGCACCTCCTGCTTCTGTTGATCTGATTGGAAGTTACCCGTTGGGAACCTGCACCAAACCACGCGTCGTAGTGGACCTGGCTGTCACAATCCCGGCTGTAAGTCACACATTTCAGAGTAGAACAGTACAGCCAGTTCTTTTAAATGTCTGACTATGGATAGTCACGTGTCTGGTTTCCTTTTTTTTTTATTTTTTATTTTTTATTATTATTATTATTTTAAAGGATATCCTCCACCCCAAAGACTTCTTAAACCAGAGGTATCCCAGGAAAAGAGCCATCTACCTGGCAGGTCTGGCTCAGTATCTGACAGCTTCCTCAGACATAGGATCCATGTCCTACTCTTGCCTTCATGGGAATCGACTTCGACCCGTTCTGCTGCTGAGTCCTCCAGGTAGGCAATGAATTTGCATCCCAGGATACAGGGAAACCTCAAAAGGTTACTCATAATTTATTCCAGAACACCAACAGCCGACTTGAGTTCAATATGAATCTTTCCCATTATGTCAAATATTTTATCAATGTTGTTGTATCTTTTAGGTAAAGACTCATCCATCATGACAGTCCGCCTTCATGCTTGTCCGCCTCCTGGATTTTTCAAGCCCAGACGCTTCCACCCTCAGATGAATAACATCAGGACAGGCTGGTACACTGGAGAGAACAATTCACAATCTGGTGAGACTCATGGCTTTTTACTGTATTATTGTCACAGTCGCCACATGCAGGCAAAATGTTTTTTGACCCCTTTTCTTTACTTCCCTGCAGAGATCAGTGAGCCTCCCACTCCCCATTACAATAGCTCCCTTCTGGGTGATCTGCTGCCCAGGGCTCACCTGCAGTTTCTGTCTGCTGTGAGCGCTCAGTGCTCCGCTTTTCCCGACGGGGTGGCTTTGCTCAAGGTCTGGCTCCGTCAGCGAGATCTTGACCAGGTGTGTTGTCTCTTCAGTCCACATGGGTGATTGAGATTCAAGTTTGATTTCTGCAAAAAAAAAAATGGATGGCTCGAAATATCTGATGTCCAATTGCACTGTTGTTTCGTATCCATTTAAGGGCACAGGGTGTTTCAATGGCTTTCTGGCCTCCATGCTCTTGGCGTACCTCCTGACCGCGCGCAGAATCAGCAACACCATGACTGCCTATCAGCTGCTGCGAAACACCTTGAACTTTCTCGGTATGCTTTTTCTTTTATGCAAAGATACAATCAGAACCAGGCTGTCATATTTTAGATCTGGTTCAACTTCTTGTGCTCCAACTCCCAGCAACGACAGACCTGACAATGAATGGAATCAGCCTGGCTAAAGATCCCGACTCGACGGCAGTGAGTGATCAACACACACATTTGTGCATTCAGCCCTCACACTCTTACATCATGTCCTTTTCTTCTTCTTCGTCCCATAGCCGTCACTGGCAGACTTTCACGATGCATTCCAGGTTGTGTTCATTGATCCGTCTGGACACCTCAACATGTGTGCGGACATGACGGCCTGCACCTACCAGCAGGTAAAGTCTGCACCCTAAAAGCGATCTTTGCCCAACGGGTCTAAATTTTAACCGCTTGAAACAAATCTCTCAGCTGCAGCATGAGGCCTCGGTGTCCATGCAGTTCTGGGACGACCCCATGGTGGATGGTTTCCACAGCCTTCTCATGACTCCTAAACCTATGATAAGGACCAGTGACCACATCTTCCAGTATGGCTTGTCAAATACCAGTTGATTTTCTCAGTTTGAACTTCCCATGTTGAGTCTGGATGTCCTCCCTAGATTGTGTGAACTCGTCAAGCTGCAGTCCAGCTGTAAGAAGCTGAACTTGCTCAGTGAGCTGATGGACCATAGTGGAAATTATGTGCACACGGTGCTCCCGTTTATACTGTCGCTGCTTCAGAGGGGACTCGGACAAAGGGTCATCCTCCTCACCCACTCACTTTCCCCTGAGCCTGAGGTGGGTTTACGTATCTTCTTCCACACATGACGGGTTACTCAGTCTTCAAAATGCAGAGATCGTTATGTTTGACGACCCCCCCGTTGGACTTCACTATAAAATTAAACACATCAAAAATAATCAAACCCACTTTCTGTCCCATGATTGTTTTTATTTTGTGACAGTGGTCGCTGGAGAGCGAACCCCCCAAGTACAAAGCCCAGCCGCCGCTCACCTTTGGTTTGTTGTTAGTCTTTTTCCACACATGACTGGTTGCTCAGTATTCAAAATGCAGAGATCGTTATGTTTAATGACTCCCCCCCAAGTTGGACTTTACTATAAAATTAAACACATCAAAAAGAATCAAACCCACTCTCTGTCCCATGATTATTTTTATTTTGTGACAGTGGTTGCTGGAGAGCGAACCCCCCAAGTATAAAGCCCAGCCGCCGCTCACCTTTGGTTTGTTGTTACGACCTGAGCTGGCAATGTCTGTCTTAGAACGAGGACCTCCAGCAGACAGCCCAAAGGTATCTTTGCCCTCTTATGTAATTAAGACACGTCCACCTATTCAAAGGAGAAACTCCGAATGATTCCAGTAAATAATGCCCATTTCTTGTAATGTGAATAATTGTTCTATCATACCCAGTGGGATGAAGTTGGACTAAGAGTGAATTTCCTGAGCTTGTGTGTCGAGGATGTTTCCGCTCAAAGCGATTCCCACGTGGTGTTTCTTCTGTTAGGCTGCTGAGTTCCGACAGCTTTGGGGCGCACGCTCGGAGCTCCGTCGTTTTCAGGACGGCGGCATCACTGAGGCCGTCCTGTGGGAAGGAGAAAGCATCTGCCAGAAACGGCTGGTACCACAGCAGATCATTACACACCTACTCCAGCTGTATGTACTTTATTTTTCCAGACCACGACTTTGAACTGATGTTGAAGCAGTACAGTATTTACTTTAGCAGCTGATTGGTCAAGTAGTTTGTAATTTTTGTATACTCAAAGTGATATTACAGCAAGAGCTTGTGACTTTCCTGCATCAGTCTCCAACTTCGGTGACATCTGATTTTTCATGTTTTTTTCTGGATGAACAAAAAAAAAAAAATCTCTGAAATACAGTGTTAAGTGCATCAAAAGGAAGTGGCCAAATGGCAGTTTTCCTTCCTGTATGAACTTCATGATTGTGTCACAATACTTTGTGTCCATCCTGAGAAAGTAGCTCGCCATGTTTCATCTCACCCATGTGACTTCACATTTCCCTCGCAAATCTGCGGAGGCACAACTACAGTGTAGTGTAAAACGAAAACAAAAGTTGATCGTTTTATAGGTCCCGCTCCTCCTAAATGTATTATTTATCCCAACAGCCATGCAGACATCCCTGAGTCCTGTGTGCGACATGTTGGGGCAATTGTTGATGATGTCATCAAAACGGGGAATAAGGTAAAAAAAGAAATATCAATACAGTTTTGTACGGTGTTTAGCAGTTAATTTTCCATATTAAATTTGTGCCATTTTTTTTTTTTTTACATACGCTCATGGAGACATCCTAAAGCGTCAGATAGATTTGACACAGTGCTAAAAACTACACGCACAATTTGCGTTACGGCTCATTGAAGTCTACCTCATATTTTTTTTTTTTTTTTCCACCTCCGCATTGTCCTATAGGAGTCAAGTACTGGAGAGGAGGAAAGTTTGCGCGTGGTTCAGTCTTATGATGACCTGAGCAGAAAACTTTGGAAACTGGAGGGTCTTCCTCTGTCCATTACATCAGTGCAAGGAGCACATCCGTCGCTCAGATACACGCAGGTAAACTCGTACTATGAGGAATGCATACCGCAATACAATTAGAAACAAGTACAATGTTTACTGGTAGTTTTTCGTATGGTTTTCATTTTAAATTCACAACCCGGGCTCTCCAGGTTTTCCCCCCTCTGTCGCTGAAGTTCGACTACTCCTTCTTTGACAAACAAAAGACTTTCCAACAACTGGTACCAAAGGAGGGTAAACCTTGCCCAGCTTATGTTAACCCTATCACAGGTTAGTATGCAATCTCGTTGTAGTTTTTGTTAACCATAGTCTTTTGAACAAGATTGAAGCTGTCTTAGCTTACATGGTGCTCTTATCACCACCGTCACCTGCTCACTGGTCTGTCGAAGCGCCGCGGTGTATGATTGATGCCTTGGTAACCTACAGTGATCTGTCACATGGAGGGCAGCGGAAAGTGGCCTCACGATCGCCTCGCCATCCGCCACATCCGAGCTGCCTTCCACATCCGGCTGGGGGAGTTACTCAAGATGCAGCATAATTACACGTGCAGACCCTGTGCCACACACTTGGATGTCTTGAAGGTGCTTTGTATTTGTTAGTAAGGAACAGGCATCTCCGCGATATCATTTTGAATTTGACTGGAGGTTTGCACCATCAACCTTTTTATTTTTTAATTTATTTTTGCCTTTTGCAGGACGGCTTTGTGTTCCGCATTCAGGTGGCGTACCATCGAGAGCCCCAGGTACTGAGGGAGCGAGTGACTCCCGAGGGACTCCTGATCGTCAGGGACAATGAGGAGGCTCAGATCTTGGAGATGAACACCATACACAAACCTCTACTTACCAGCACACTGCACGGGTAATATATATTTTTTTTTTTCCCCAGTCTCTCACTCTAGCTTCTCTTCTCTAGATCTGGGCACTATGGCCTTAAAAATAAAATCTCACAAGTTGTTTTTCCACCTTCACTTATCACAATAACCAATTGAATTTGTGCTCCCTATCTGTCTTTTTTTTTTTTTTTAATCAGTGTCAAAAACACATTTAGGGACACGTAATGACAGCTCTGATTAAAAATAGCTGTTGACCAATGTAATTTTATTGCAAAGTGGCATTCGGGTGTGGTGCTCAGTGTGCGGCAGCCGTCATCTGACTCAATGCACAATTAAGGCCTACAAGCGGTGGAGAAGATGGATGTTTTACAGTTTGTCCTTGTTGTCAGGCTCCAGCAGCAACACCCATGTTTCGGGGCAGCGTGTCGCCTGGCCAAACGTTGGCTTGGCGCCCAACTCTTCAGTGACGATATCACAGAGGACACGGCGGACCTTCTGGTGGCTTACCTCTTCCTGCAGCCTGCACCGTTCACCCCTCCTGGGTATCTTTTTCAACGCCATGAGCCTTTTGTTTGTATTGCTTTGCCCTTGTCTTTTTTTTTTTCCTTGCTATGCCGGTCACGTGAGTGTTTTCGTTGTTCTCCTCAGTTCTCCTCAGGTGGGCTTCCTCCGCTTCCTTCATCTGCTCTCGTCCTTTGACTGGAGGAACAACCCGCTGATCGTCAACCTCAACAAGCAGTTTACAGGCAAGCACTCTCACACATCCCCGTGCAAAGCAAACAGTTGCTGACCTCTTTCTATTTACACATCTGACATACTTTAACATCCTGCTCGTCGCCGTTGCTGCGTTGTGATTGTTGTGCGCCTCTCCTCACGTGTAGCGGCCGACTACACAGAGATCAAGAATGACTTCATGGCCTCCAGGGACTTCCTACCGGTCATGTTTATAGCAACGCCTAAAGACAAAAATGTTTCGATGTGGACCAAGCGAGCCCCCACTGTCCAGGTCAGTGGACCAACAAATACAAAGTGGAACCAGCACTTCATTCGTATAAATCGTTTATTAAATGAAGTATAAATATTTTCACACTATAAAACTATTAAAAAAAATGTTTATAGATTTATAGCTACAATATCCAACAGACAAGATGTTTTTTTTCTTTGTTTTTTTTTTTTTTTTTTTTTTTAAGTTAAATAGCAAGATAGGATTATAAACACCGATGTAAGAAAGAGTTGCATGTTCTTGGCAGAGAGCAATCACACAGTTTCCCGATCCTGGAACCTCTCCGCAGTGCACACTGGTCTCCTGGATCACACTGTTGAAAAAGAAAATGCATGATATAGCCAGAGTTAAATTATCTTACGGTGAAACTTGAAGCTATTCTCTAACAGGCTTCGTCATGTCACATACCATGGGCAAGTGGCCGTGTTTTTTCCTCAGGGCTGAAAGTTGATTTTTCTGAAGCCTGTCCAAAACTTCATGTAAATCGTTGATCTGGATAAGCGTAAATTAAAAAATTTTCAACGATCAAAACAGCAAGCTCAGCAGTTTCCCTGTGCCAATAACATTTCTGTGCACGATTAGAGCTCCGATAGATTGCGCTCACCAATTGCTTTTCGTTGCCGTCCGCGGTCATAAAATATCGTAAATGTCTAGCTGTGTATTCCTCCGTCTGGATCACAGCGTCGGCGTCCAAGCTTTTGGTGATGCACAGCAACGTGCAGAAAAGGTACACACAGCAGCTTCTCATGATGCGTCGCTGACCCAGATAAACTATCCGTGCTCCACCTCACTCTTCCCCACAACATTACAAGGAGCCTCCAAGCGGCCTCCTCTTATAAGAGGGGGGCTGCAGGGCAGGAACTTTGTGTTTGGTCACGTTCCTGTCTGAGGTGGTGTTTTGGGGGTTGTCAGCATTATATTTCACCAATTTATAACAACAAAGAATTGTGACTCTAGAACAACAAGTCTTGTGCGACACTCCTCCGACTAAGAAAATCAACGGAACCGCAAATTAGCAAGAGGGAAGAAAAAGAAAGAAATAAAAGAAGCGACTTAAAACAGAACCGAGATTTAAAGTGGGAAACTGCATCTTCTTCAAGGTTGAGATGAGGAGACAGACAAGAGGGACCGAGGGCGGAAAGAGAAAAAGGGTCCTTTTGGCTTCGGCTGGTGCTCTGGATCGTATGAAGCTTTCAACACTCGAAATAACACGTCATTGCACAACAGGTTAGGCTCATATTAACAAGCCACATATACTCTTGTGTGCACCCAAAAGACATTTATCATCCAATAGAGTCTATATTCCACTGACCGAGTCTCACTCTCCGCTACTCTCGCCGACACGACGTCACCTGCCCCTGCAGAAGCCTCGTGAACTGGACTGCTCCGATAACACACATTCCAGTCAACTCAAAAGTAACACATGCTTACAATTGCCACAATAGCTGAAATCTTATAAGTCTCTCGGGCCATAAACGTTTCATAAATTGAGTGACGCTAAGAGCTTTTGACTTAGAGTTTGCTCTGTATACCAGAGCAAAATCGCCTCAAGCCCAAATTAAGTCACCTCTTCAAATGCTTATGTGTTTCTTGTCCCTAGACAAGTTGAAACAAATCAGGCAGTGGTTGATCAGAGTTTATTCATCCCGGGTAGTTCGTTGGAATCATTTGTGTGCCTCAACTTGAGTATTACGACATAAATCCAAATTCGTACGTGCATTTCCTCAGATGCTGCAAAGGGTGGTGATGGTGGCTGCCGAGAGTCTCAAAGTTCTGGAACATCAGCTGATAGATGGCTGTCAGATCCAAGATGTCAGGGTTAGTGGAAAGAAAAAAAAAAAAATCAAACATACACTGAAGAGATCAGTTTTAATACGCGCCTTTCAATGCACAGGTGGTCCTGCGTCCTCCTTTGGAGGCATACGACGTACTGATCCACCTGAACTACGTGCATTTCCTCAGATGCTGCAAAGGGTGGTGATGGTGGCTGCCGAGAGTCTCAAAGTTCTGGAACATCAGCTGATAGATGGCTGTCAGATCCAAGATGTCAGGGTTAGTGGAAAGAAAAAAAAAAAATCAAACATACACTGAAGAGATCATGTTTTAATACGCGCCTTTCAATGCACAGGTGGTCCTGCGTCCTCCTTTGGAGGCATACGACGTACTGATCCACCTGAACCCCAAGCAGGTTCCACTGCTCGATCAGGCAGTGGACCGTCCCGCGGTCAACTTCAGCAGGGGCGTGGTCCTCGGCAACGTGGTCGGCTCGGGGACGAAGATGCCCGTCACCGACTACAACCCTGTGGCCCTCTACCTGGCAGAGCTTCGGGTGAGTGTCATCCCGTCATCTTTTCAGTTCGTGCTCCGACAAGGAGGCGGCTTGCAAGCTGCGCTCTGGAAAGTGCCAGCGGCCTCCTGCCAACAAACGGAAGTGCAAACAATAAAAATATGCATGAAGCCAATTATGAGCGTTTGCATGTCAACTTTATGAGAGCAATGACAATTCTTCACCTTTCCCTGCTCGTAAAGTGGTCTCGCTGCATTAACCACGATGACATTTAAATCATCAGTTTGGCACGTTGTCAAGATTAAATTTCTTATTCCATTTACATTGATCAGAAAGGTATAATGTTGATGTTACGGTGTCACTGAAATTTCCCCAATGAGAACTTTGCATCATGACTTTTTATAATGACGTCCATCATCATCAGCATCATCTTGTTTAGGACGCATTCGGAGACCTGGCCCTTTTCTTCTGTGACCCCTACGGAGGATCTGTGATCGCCGTTTTGTGGAAGCCAAAGGCCTTCGCCCCGCTGCCCTTCAAGGTAAAACTCTTTTTAGTGACAAGCAAACGAAGGCGTAGCCAGTCTTCTGTGTCGAAGTGACTCATGTTAACCGATGAAGCACTGGGTATTAAGTCGGATTTTGTACAGTGTGTTGTATAGGGTCCACACCTCAAGCGAATCCTCACGCTGTTCTCGCACCCAAAGTTAAATGTCGTTTGAAGCTGAGAATGGCGGGTGGACATTTTCACTTCAGTTTGGCAGCTAGACTGACGTGTAATTTATAAATGTTGCTGACCGGGGCAACCCCGATTGGATCAGCTGAAATCAAATCATTTCTGCCTTCTGAACATAGCTAGCCCCCCAAAAAAAGATGACTACAGAAGACAACAAATGTTTCTTCTCTCCGCTTCCTGTAGACGTCCCAGATGTCTGCCAGGATCGCGGAGGTAACGGGCAAAGAAGCAAAGACGGTTCCCAATGTGGAAGCTATACTGGAGGACTTCAGCATCATTGGAAAGGATTTGGTTAAATCTGTGGAGGCCAGGACTGAAAGATGGTCATTTTAGTTTTTTTTGCCACAATTTTCCATTTTTCCATTTTACATTTTTACAAACCCCCAAAAACAAGTTTACAATCACAGAGAAGCACGTACAATAAATAATATAGACTTGATGTCAGTTCCAGCCTGCTTTTGTTCTACCAGCTTCACCAGCAGTTTGTCTTGACTTGTTTCTACAAGCGTTCATCCCTGAAACAAAACACGGTTGTGATATTTCTCAACATAAGGGGTATCAGCAATGGTACGCAACATTTCCGTTGTGTCAAAGGTAGAAATTCAGAGATAAGATCAAATTTATCGTTCAAAAGTTCACTTTTGGAGTGGCCTGCTCGCCGAACTTCCATGTGGATGACCAGACCCTAATGAGCCATAATGAGGACAACTTGTGTGGAGAAAAAAAAAAATGAATGAATGCACCAAGTTGTGTGGCGGAAGAGCTTTAAGTGTGACTTTCTCCAGCTGGATGGCACATCCTTTGGTGTAAGAGATCACCTGAAAAGCTTCTGCATGTTTGTGAAAGGGCAACTCAATTTTAGATGCTGCGCGTTCAACAGCTGTGAATATCAAGTGAAAGAGCATGACCTGCTTTTATTGCTGCTCTGAAAACGTCTTCCCGTTCCCTCCATTCTGTGGCTGTCGGGTCTTCAAAAAAGGGGTGAGTGGTTTGACTCTTCATAAACTTGTGAAAGATATTGCCTGTGGATTCACTTCGTGTGCATGCAACGGATTGTTTGGCCTTGTTCAGACGGTCCGGCTGCACTTTTGAGGGCAGAGATGCATTGACGTTTCAAAAAAACGGGTTAAAACAAAGTTGCGTGTTTGATAAAATAGGAAGCGTGGCATTTTTATGGCATTGATAGCAGACTGATTGGCTGCTGAGGCAGGTCATTAATTGCTCAACAGCTTGTTAAGAGCCTTTCTCATCATGCTGACACATGGAGATGTCATGGGGTGTGCAAGCATGTGCAGCTGTTGACGGGCAAAGTGTGTTTTGACTGCAGCAGCACCGCTTAATTATAGGGAAAGTGGAAATGTACTAGACGCACGCTTTACGTGTTCGCGACCCAACTCATCAACAATGCTATAAAGTTGTGTGACGATGGCTGAGTTGCGCAATTGCGTGATCGTGTTTTGTCTTGGGCAACAATGTATAGTGTTCATGTTAATGCAAACTGTTTCTTAAAAAAAAAAAAAAAAAGCTTCCTGGAGTGAATGTTGAAACTTGTGCAGATGTGTCAAGGGAATGAGAAGCAGCCACTAATTGCGGTTATGCCAATTGTCACTCGCAGTTGCGTTACCTTTCACACACTTTGTTGCCATGAAAAATGTGTTGCTCAAGCTGTTTACCTTTCCTGAAGCCATGTGCCATTTCGCCTTTTTAGGACAATGGAAAACATCTAGACACCCCCCCTGCCCCCCACCTACAGACAAGCACATCTGGTTGACACATGCTCCGTGTGTTCAGCAATCTTTTGAAACCGTTTTCAGAACAAATCAAGCGACACCTAAGCAGACATATTGTTCTGCACCTGCTCTTTTCGAAATACTCAAGCATTGTTTTCACTCTCATACTGCCACTTGTCCTTGTTGAGCCAAATTATTCCTGGAAAAGAGCAAACAACAATGGTGGCAATGCGTTTGACCTTAAAAAAATGGAGTCATCTATTTGGACGATCAACACTAAAAATAGCCCGCGCTAAAATGAGTTGGGACAAAACAGCTGAAACCAACCGAAACATGAGGAATTACTATACAGTGGTCCCCCCGCCACTTTCCCCCTCATTATTTGCTTAAGTGCTCAGGCCAAAGTCCTAATATCAAAGTATTGCTTTGGTGCCATTTTTAAACTATGTTGAAGTGACAAGGAGGAGATCCATTTAGATGGGCTTCAAATATGGTGCCTTTTCGAATTCTGTTTTTTTGCCAGGGAAATTTCCGATCCTAACTGAGCAAGATAAACTGGAAGCGCAAAGAGGATAGGATTGTTTGAATTGACTTGAAATGGATTTTATTTTTGTGCAGCCACTTGGGGGAAAAAAAGGGCTAAATCCCACAAAAACTTTTTTTCATACATTTTTTTAAGTAGTCTGATTTAATTGGATCTAGAGGATTAATTTTTGTGCAGCTACTACTTTTCACTTAAGTCATGAAGTAAAAATACTTTTACTCGAGTACATCTTATGGCTACTCTACTCACCTCAGGTCATGTAGGAGAGGAACTGTCTTAAATGTTACCCGACCTGATACTTGATGAACATAAGGCCAAGTTTCACACCTGCGCAGAATTTCCTCAAAGCCACCTGATCTCATTCTTCTTGCCATTGTTATATTTCATAAGAGGAGGGAGAACTTTGTAACTTCTCCTGTACATTCCGACTTGTTCTGCTAGTTCGGCTGAATCAGCTCAGCTCAATGCAAGCAAGATTCCCCTGACGCAGGTAAACTGACTGAAATGATTCATATGCCCGCTGGGCTTTTTAGAGGTGATGCATGACATTGCAGTGTGATTACTTAACTCTCTTCAAAATCCTCACAGAGGTACTCTCAATTCCGATTACATAGATTTAATATTGAATGTTTCAATGAGCTAGAAACTTGGAAATGCAATTTTTTTTTTCCATTAGATGGTACTAATATTTCAGTGTAATATTATCCTAATCTGCCTTGATTCTGTTGGGCCATTAAATGGGTACAGCCACTAACTGCTAAACACAAGGGAAGAGTAAAAGAGCTCAGCTGAACTTGACATGAACTACGTTGGCATGTTCTCACAGCTTGGTTGAAATCAGAGAAAGGACGTGGAAGAATGATGTGTGCCGATGAAGTTTCAGACGGCAAACAAAAGAACAGGTCACGTCAAGCCACGGAAGGAACAGAATGATGCGGAATGAATGGATGCAGGTTGAAGTCTTAGCCACTTTTTGAATTATGTATACAATACAAGACTATTTTTGCTTTCAAAGCTTTTTTTTTTAGTTTATCAATGTATGTTATATCTACAAATACATTTCTTTAGTTGCATCTACTTTTTGGTGAGGCGTGATGGCAAATATATAAAATTAGTGATAATGCACATTTGATTGACATTGAACACTAAGTATTTTTATTCATGCTTTCATTAAAAATATTTTGCAAGCACAACTTTAAAAAATTGGCATAGAAGTATTTAAATCCCCATAACATATATGAACATGAATAAGCAAATCTGCAGCTGTCAAAGAACTTTAAAAAATGAGGCACTCCAGGTTTATTAAAATCTTTACAAAAGTAATTTAATGGTAATATAACATGAAGCTGTGCATAGTAAATCGTACCGCACAAGGATAACATATCTGCTCGATATAGGAAATGCAGGCCAGTAAAAGCATGTTGCATGAATCACATAGTGACGCGCCACAAGTAGGCGTGTGTGGCAGGGGGTGTGGCAGACCTCAGCATTGGCAGCGACCCAGTCCGAGACTCTGTTCTTTATAAAGACCAGTCTGGTCCTTCCAGCTCCGCAGCTTCACATCTGCTCACTGAAACTTGCTCCTCGCTTCCCAGTGGCCCGCTAACAAGACAAAATGGGCAGACAAAAGATCTACTTGGAGAAACTGTCCACGACCTTCCAGATCCGCAACCTGCTGCTTCGCCAGGCCTTGGCAGAATGTCTGGGCACCCTCATCCTCGTGGTAAGAACCTATGATGGGGGGTGATAGACAGATACTTTATTCTGTGAGGGGGAAATTGAATTGTCACAGCAGAAATATTCACACGCATAGAGTCAACTCTTAACAAAGAAACATAACAAAAAACAGAGGGTAAGAAAACAGCATTAAGATGCAATTAAAGACTTGGAAGAAAAAAAAAAGTGTGGGAGGTGTATCAGTGTGGTCAACACCGCCAGGCTTTCAATCAATGGCAAGGTGAACATCGGTCACGAATGTTTAAACTCTATATGCTCCACCTCCTTTCAAGAGTCCTTTTTCTACACTTTCTATTATACTCCAATATAATCAGTGACTAGCTAAATGCCAGTGTTACTTTCTAATCAACTTTCTGTGGCAATATTTGCAAAGTAAGGCTGTAAAGTCAATTTACAAGTTATACAGAGGCCAAGCGCACACTACAAAGCAAGGATTTTTTTTGGGGGGTGGGGGGGGGATTGTGTCAATGTTAGGTTTGCATTCACTATTGACTTACGTGCATGTAATATATACAATGCGCAGCAAACTTGAAAACAGGATCCAAGGTAGGAGTGTCAGGCTCAATTTTGTCACGGGCCACTTTGGAATTACGTCTTCCCTCGGAGGGCCGTTATGAAAGCAAATCCACAAAAAATTTTCAATTGTCTCATCGCATTACTTGTCCGAAACGTTTTTTTTTTTTTTTTTAAATCAGTCAACTATAATAGTTCAGTTATTATTCAAGTGAGTCTAAACAGGGTAACAAAACGATTGCAAAATTTCAACATTACAGTATGTAGTACACATGACAATTTGAATTTTTGGTACAAATTTTGGCAAGGATTATGCAAGTTAACAGACATGATTTGCTTTTGCGGGCCACATAAAATGAATGTGGCGGTCCGGATCTGGCCCCCGGGCCTTGAGTTTGACATCTGGTCCAAGGGAAGTCATCCTTTTCGCACCACCGACTGTTTCCCTTTAATTGTCTTAGGTATCACCTATAGAAAATTATTATTGAGTCACGGACCAACCAGTGTAGGGGAGCTATTATGGGTTAACATTTTAAAAAGCTACACTGAGGCCATATTAGGGCCCACCCTGAGCCTGATGTGGTGGCCACAATGGGGTTATTGAATCAAAGTAAGCCTGGTAGACTGTCACACTAATTTAAAACGCACACATTAAAAAAACAAACAAACAAAACTTGAGAGATAAGGTTAAAAAAAAAACGAATGAGCATTTACCTAATCAAATTGGTCAATGTGTACAGTACAATGACAAGGTGTGGCACAGGTTTAAAGCAAGCGCAAGGTGTGGAGGCAGAACAATCGTACGCATGATAAGATTTGACTTCCGAGTGTCACTTAACATCCTCTCGCTCTGGTGATGAAACTTGAGTTTAAGCCGGTGACTAAGCAAGCGAGTGCATCGGGAACAAGTCAGGGTGTGGACACTGTAGGTGTGAGTGCGCTGTTTTTTTTGTTTTTTTTTTTTTTGCTGAGCTTTTCTAAAGCCAGTTTTCCCCTCAAAACCCGTGTTTGCAGTATATGGCCAGATCAACATGTTTTTTTTTTTTTGCTGAGCTTTTCTAAAGCCAGTCCCCCCTCCCCCCCCCAAAACCCGTGTTTGCAGTATATGGCCAGATCAACAGATGTGCCGTGATAAGTGGATAGATGAATTAAAAAACTGACACGTAATGCAAACGCAACACAAATCTCTTGTGTCAACCTTGTGTGGGCAGTTTAAGGTAGTCATTTAAACTTACTGAACTAACAAAGAAAAAAAGACGACCAGATTTTTGGGGTTTTTTTTGGGGGGGCACACTGTATTTTTTATGAGCCTGTCCAGAGTGTCTGGAGCCGCACTGTTGCGCAACTTGCTGAATCGTTCACTTTAACTTTGGTTGGTAAGAGGTGAGGTCCTCTGAGCGAACCACATTTTGAAAACAAAAAGATTGAATGTTACACACTCACAGTGGAATATTCTAAAGCTTTCAAAACGCTCCAAAGCAGCTAGCAACAGGAAACAAAACCCACACATTTTTGCGGTATTTTAATGAGCGCCCCCATCTGGGTGTTGAGATGATAAAATCCAGGTGCTATGAGTCTGGATGCTTTCTTTCCTGTGGTCTTATTGCAAAATAGAGGTTTCAGGCCATGCATTTCTTTAACCTACCCATAAAAAAAAAAAAATAAAAAAAAAACATTCACAGTAAGCAAGACTTTAATGTTTCCTGATGTGCGGAAAATGACTATTTTGGAAAGAATCATCTGCTCAAGACACACTACCAAACTAACATTCATGAAATTTTTGGGTGATTGTAGGGACATGATGATGTGGACACAACGGAGCTTTTATAATTCTAAGAAGACTCTTTTGAATGGGCTTTTTGTTCCTCCTCTGGATGATGATGATCATTAAACCTTGGCTTGACCTTGACTGGCTGACAAATCACATAATCACAGCACCTAAATTACCATATGCTGATTGACCTCTAATTTAGTTTGATTTAGGAAAAAATAGGAAGGAAGGAACAGTTCGATGACTAATGAACCCTTATGAAACATTGATAGGTCATAGTATAAATCAGATAAAACAAGGTGGTGATTGAGGAAAAAAAAGATTAAGAGTAACAAAGTTAAAAAGAACATAAACAAGGGCAGTCTCTCATGCGAGTCTCTTCCTGTAAACAAGGTGGTGATGGAGGAAAAAAAAAAGATTAAGAGTAACAAAGTTAAAAAGAATGTAAACAAGGGCAGTCTCTCATGCGAGTCTCTTCCTGTGCCGAAAGCCCCCAAAATTACAAATGGGCAGTGAAGGGGCTTGTCTAATGTGCACTGGGAGGTCATTCCATCGTTTGGCAACCCCTCTGCGCTTCCGCTGAGACTTGGGGAGCTTCAGAAACAGCTGCTGAGCTGACCCGAGGCACCGGGCAGGACTGAACAGATGGAGCAGCTCAGAGATTTAATGCGGGGTGGGACCATTTAGAGATTTGAAAATAAATGGCAGAATTAAAAAGGACTTCAAAGTGGACAGTCCGCCAGCGGCCAGAGGCCAGAATAGGAGTTATGTGCTCCCTCTTACGTGTTCCAGTTGAGAGGGGAGCAGGCCCGAGGGTCACTGTCTATGTGCTCATCACAGGAGGACATCTGAACCCCGCAGTGACGTTTGCCCTATGCCTGCTCGGGAGAGAACGCTGGAGAAAGTTCCCCATGTACTTCCTCTTTCAAACCATCGGCGGTTTCTTGGGTGCAGCCATCATTTTTGGCATGTACTATGGTAAGCATGAATTGGTTATTTCATTCATGAAGGATTTTTTTTGTTTCATGGAATTTTTTTTTTTTGTTCTTCATCTTTAAATTATACTTCACGGAGTGATCAAATTGAGAATTTGTCTTGCTCTGAAAATGTCTGGGAGGTCTCAATAGTCCTAATTGGAATCAACACATGCCATGTCAGTCAAAATAGTCACTCTGTTTGTTTACAATCTTATGCAAATATTTAAAATAAACAAATTCAGTATTTTCATTTTCTAAGCTCCCCAAAAAACGAAATAGGTGCACCAAACCCACAACAAAGGCAAAACAATTCTATATCGGCTCAGCACCAAACTGTACATCTTCGTATGAATTGATTTTTATTGACCAAGTTACGGAATGAAAATCCTCAACTCGTGTTATTTTTCCCTCTTTTAAAACCCAATTCAGATGCCCTGTGGGACCGTCCCGGTGCGTTCAATGTCACTGGCCCGAATGCCACAGCTGGAATATTTGCCACCTATCCTGGAAAACATCTCACTCTTGTCAACGGCTTCTTTGACCAGGCAAGATTTTTGAGCAACAGCAGTCATTGAATACGCCGTGATTCCTTGAACTGAGCATTTCTATCCTTGCCCTTTTTCTGCAGATTATTGGCACGGCGGCACTGATCGTTTGTATCCTGGCCATCGTTGATCCCTACAATAATCCCATCCCACAAGGATTGGAGGCCTTCACTGTGGGCTTTGTGGTTCTGGTCATCGGCCTGTCGATGGGCTTCAACTCGGGCTACGCAGTCAATCCCGCCAGAGACCTCGGACCTCGTCTTTTTACCGCAATGGCCGGCTGGGGAGTAGAAGTCTTCACGTAAGCGCACGTTTCCCTGAGAATGATGATCATTGTCAGTTCTTTTGGGAGCGCTTGTTGACCTGAAATGCTCACAAAGCATCGCAATTGTCCTTTTCACAGCGTCAGAAACGGTTGGTTCCTGGTGCCGGTTTTCGCCCCCTTCCTCGGCACCTTCATCGGCGTGGTCATCTACCAAATGATGGTCGGCTTCCACGAGGAGGGAGAAGTACGTGACCGCAGGAACGCCGAGGCGGAGGAGAACTTGCGGCTCACCAGCGTCGCTGCTAACGACAAGTCGAAAGAGGCCACCAAACAAGTGCACTGAGCCTCTTTGGCCGTTTTGTTGAAAACAAACCAGGTGTGATCCACTTTTCACCGCAGTTTAACTGCTAGACTGGTTGGGATCATGAAATGAAGCTACAGTAATTTACTTTCTTTGTGTTTGTATTGCGTTTGTAGAAGAAAGACGGTAGAGGGGAGAAGCATGACAACACAAACATCCATTTAAGAAGAGATGTAAATGTTGACGTTGTGTCCCTGGTCTTCAAATTGAAACAGTATTTTATACTTGGTACCGATGTAGTTTTAAATACTTATTATT